ACGGTAATGTACGGGGATGTACGGTAGATCTACCGTACATGTACGGTAATGTACGGTAGATCTACCGTACATTCCCGTACATCTACTGTACATAGCCTCTTGTTCACCAGGGCGCATTGCATTTTTGGGAGGCCCGACCACCGGCCACAACTTTGTGGGCGGACCACCGCCATCCTTGTTTGACGGACCACCGCCGTCAATTTTTTGGGACGGACCGCCGTCCTCAATTTTTGTTGGACGGACCACCGCCCTATTTTTTTCAAGGACCACCGCCTCTTTTCAACGGACCACCGTCCACAAATCTTGGTTTGTCCACTGTGCGTTGCACGTTCGTCGCGGCGGTCCGCAAGACAGTTGCTTCTTTCGTTTGTTTTTCTGGTGTTTTTCTTTGTGGTTGCACGGCGTGTTCCTAACACGTAGATGTAGGTCATTGTGTGTGTTCTGTTTTCTTATGCGTTTTGATGGTTTAAAGTAGAAAGTGTTTTTCTTTTAGCGCGGTGGTGGTCCACCGAAGAAATTCAAAACGATGTTTTTTTTGGCCTTTTGTTTTTCTTCAGCAAAGCAGAGCGGTGAGTGTTTTACATTTAAAAACATTACAACAGCAGCGCTTTCCCAGGTAAAAAGCATAGTTTTTCGATGTCCTTCGATTTGGGCCTTGCTACTGGGAAACTTGAAAAAGCATATTTCTTGAACATCAAAATCACCAGTTAGAACTTACAGAACTTCAAAATAGTTACATTTAAGTTACATCTTACTTACGAAGCCGTCCAGCTAACTTAGTTTTAAGTAGTTTGTAACTTCACCAAGTAAGATACAAGCGTTTTAATTGGGGGGCCCATCAGTGTAGGCATCCAAGAAGCCTGTCTTCGGCCTTCTGAATTTTGCACTGCTCAGGCTAAGCTGCGAAAGCTGAACTTCCACTCCTACTACAGTCTCGGGCGAAATGGCGCACAAGCTACGGGGGTAGTGACTGTGGCTGTTCGGACAACATTCCCTCACAAACTCGTGGCCAAGCGCGAGCATGATGACTTTCAGCATCTTCTTCTCGAATGTGGCACTGGATTCACTGGATTTTGCCTGCAGCCACATCCCTCCTCCTCGCGCTCACCTCCTGGACGTTGGACTTAGCGCTCTCCAGGGTCTTCTGCGCACCACACAAGCAGCCGCAGGGCATAGACCTTGGATTTGTGTGGGCGGTTACAACTCTACACCAGCAGACATCGCCCCTTTGCTCCAGCTGTTCGGTGGCGAACTGGTCTCCAGTCCAAACAAACCCGTCGGCAGAGCAACCGCTTCATTGATCACATGTGGTCGAGAAGCCAACAGCTCACTGTCACTGCAGCAAGGTGACGTTGACGCCCTTTGGACGTGCTTCATTGACACTCTGCGCCTCCTGTTCCAGACTGCGGCTACCGCTCTTTCCACACCATCCAGCAGGCGCCTGCTCAACCACGGCGGACACCTACCACCATGTTTCTGCGAAAGCAGAGCAACTGGCTCGATCAAGCCGTCCCTAAAGCCATCCACACACACATTGGACACAGCTTTGGCCAAAAGATCCACACCACTACACAGCGTTTACCCACCTATCCCAGTCTCCAAGACCGCCCTTCAGTCTCTGAATTTGCCGGTGCCAGGGCTCAATTGCGGGGGGCGGCCGGACCTGATGGCCTGACTTGTGGAGGAACTGCAGTGGCTCCCTGATCATGATTGGTTCAGTTGCATCATTGCAATCTGGGAAACCGTCGGACTTATCCCTGCAACTGTGACCTCAATGCCAAACCGCACAAGGTGCTTGACTACCGGCGGTGGAGCGGTACCTGGGCTCGAAGCAAAATGGTGACTACCTGGCACACTCGGACATTACCCCCATGCGTTGTCGGGGCCCGCAAAGCGCCGGAACTGAAGAGTTGGCGCCCCAGCTTTCTGATTCCCTCTTGACGCAAGGGTACTTCGCCACACCCACGATTACTCTCTGGCTTTCGATTATGTTCTGCCGGCTGCCATCACCACGGCTATGAAGCATATAATACCGCGTGGCCTGGCAAACGTTCTTCAAGCTCAATGGTCCTGCCAACGGAGATTCCCCCAGCGGCGCGCCAGTTGCTGTGCTGAGCCGCTCCGCACATTTCCTCAAGGGAACCCAATGACCCCGCTTGCGCTCAATCTGCTGATGTGGGCTGGCTTGCGCTTTCAACGCACATGCCCTAGCCCTCCTGGAGCTCGTCAACGTGTGATCTACATGGACGACCGCGCTTGGACAACCAATTCACAACACCTTCTTCTCCAGGCTTTGGATGCGTGGCGCCAATTTAGCAATGCAGTTGGTTTGAAAGAGAATGTCTTCAAAACACAACTTTTTTTCTACACCTGCGGCACAGCGTGCCCTACAACAGACTTATTTGCACACCGGCCAGACCTCCGACAGGCTGTCACACCTTCGGCCTGTGTTCTCGGCTCATGTAAAGGTCGCTCGTGAACTCCACGCCAATTAAGGAGCAGCAGCGTCTGGATGAGGCTACCACGCTTTGCACCAAGATCCGGTTCCTACCCACGGATTACCAAACCAAACTGCAAGCAGCTCGTTCCTAGGCTGCGAGCAAAGCCACCTATGGATGGGTTGCTTTTACACCTCCAGCACTAGCAATCGCAAGATTCGATGCAGAGCTTTCAGCGCCAGATGCTCCTGGGTGGAGTCCATGGCCTCGAGATTGTCATCAGGGCCAGACAGTGATACTCTGGGGCAAACGTTACGTGGCGACTGCAACAGTTCTCCAACCCAGACTTCAATGGCCCGGTATCAATGCTGCAACACTTTCGCCTCCCCAACCCGCCGCGGCCCTTCCCTCTCGTGGTCAGGCCTATGACGCCAACCGAGTTACGCTGGCGCGGAAAATCCCGCAGCACACTTCCAGCGCTGCAGTTGCTGTCTTGACCGGCAACTTCACCAGCCCAGCTTGCTTTGCCAAGAGACCCCTTTCTGCGCCGAACCACAGGCTGATGTTCGACACTTGTTCTGGGAGTGCAAGCAGCGCCGCATTGCAGGCCGAGCTGCAGATGGATTGGAAGCTCGATTTGGGCGGCCCACGCGCGAGCTGCACCTCACCAACTTGGAGGCCGTGGATGGCCCTGACGGTTGAGGACATCTGGAGTCGCCCTCACGCTGCCAAAGGACAATGGACTCGTCAGGTTTACCGCCCGAAAGGCTTTTCGTTAAGACAGCCACTTTGCCGTCGCAAGCGGCAGCGCACTGATGCCTAGCGCCCTGGTAGGGGCCACACAGCTGCTGCCAGACGATGGTGGTTTGTTCTGCTCTCGGCAAGAGCAGCAACCGACGAACCACCGGAGGTTCATGCAATGCCCATGGTGGATATATCTAGGCTTACAAGTATGGAGCTTTCTGGAACAAGAGCAGTCGAGCAGTCGAGACCACAAATGGTTCCCGTTCGGCCAGACCCAGAAGTTATGCCGACCGTAGGAGCGCGCGCCTTCCTTGTGGAGAATCATTGCGATGAATGTGTACTTTTTTTGGCTGACTGTGCTACTGCCGCACTTGTCATCTAAGAACAGCTTTCCCAACTCCTGGTAGCAACGCAAAACAGTGCGGAAGAGAACGTGTTGCGCGGTCAAGAGGACAGCAATTTGACGCAACACAGACTCAGACCGGACACGCGCCCATGGTGACAGCTTTGCAGAACATTCATGCATTGCTGTTAGACCAGGTTTGTCCTCTCGACTCCTTGGCACCACCCAAGCGTATTTGCCTGCGTGCTATTGTGTATATGCTGCCCCCAACACTTATTTAGTTGATGCAGTCCGATGTGTACCAGCGCAAAGGTTCGGTTTGTTTGCGCCTGTGACCGTACCTCAGGCTAGGTGTGGCGCAAGATCTTGTAGAGTCGTGGATTTATTTTTAGGTTCTTATTTCAGTGCACCATCTTTTTGCCACGCAAAAGTTCTGATTGGCGCCAATGTAAAGGAAACTGGTGGAAGAACAGAAAGAACATGTGTAACTGTAGGCCTGATCTTTAGTGGAAGCTGGTGGCGCTATGTCCTGACCAGAAGAACAGAAAGCAGACATGTGACATGTGTAAAAAGGCCGATATTGGCGTAAAGATATTGGCAAAAATATGTTGCCCAGTTGGCGGGGGATCTTGGAGTTCCAGGTTCTAGAGTTAGAAGTTGAGAAAGACAGAAGCGGGGTTTTGTCAGGATGGAAGCAGGTGTTAGAGTTCAGAGAGGACAAACAAGAACATGATACAACAAAACAACACCAATCGAAGAAACACTTGGCCTGGAACTGTTATTTTGAGGGCTGTTCACCTAAGTTTGCCCCCGAGTTGAGCCAGCGTGTTGAGCTTTGGATCCCCGCTCTCGGTCTGTTTGCTTCATTCGAACGTCCCAACCCCGCATGAGACAGTGATGAAACTCGTTACACCCCGAGCGTCAAAAGAAGGATTTTTTTGCAGTTTATGGTCATTTTGTGTTTGTAGTTTTTGTGAAATGATTGCACAAACCAGCCGGCTGCGAAAGATTACGAAACAGAACAGAACAAGGAGTCGTGGTGCCTTTCAACCAAGTGGCTAGTGCCTAGCTCGTTGCTGTAGTGCCCTGCAAGTTTGTTGACGCGGAGAAAGAGCAGCAGACCCAGGCAACACAACCCAAAGACAAAACTGGAGTGATTTATTAGTCGCACAAGAGCACCTGCAAGGGCAAACGCATCATCACAACAATCCAGCTACCAGAGCCAAAACTGCATCAACATTGAAAACACGATGGTACGGTCAACCTAGATGGGGTGCGGAGAATGCGTATGAATGAATATGGATCTTGCAGGCGGCACCATTGTGTTTGTTCAAATATGCGTTTCGCTCGAAGTCGTTGTGGCCCATGCGCTGTGACTAATTATTTCGGCACTCGGCTGGTTGATTGTCAGAGGGCATGGGTGACATTGCAGTTGCAGATGTTGCAGATGAGACATGTTCAAAGCCCTTCACAAGGTCAGTGCTGATGGCTATACCTATGAAAGAGCTGCCATTGCCAGATGGTTTGAGACGCACAGCCCTCGCGAAGTGATCGTGATTGGTTGTTCAAAAATGTCAACTCGTTTTTTCGCAACAAAGGTCGCGGAAGAGCCCTGTCACTGGCCAGACTTTGCCACATGCTGATTTGGCCCCTTGTTGGAGAAAGAACGTGTTTGAAATGGTTTGCAGATCCCACCCATCTTCGTTTTATGCCATCAACCGGCTTTGTTGGTACTTTGGACCAGTGGGAGTCCGAGGTCCCAAATCAATCAGTACGAACCCTTTTGAAGACGATCATTGACATGACAGAAAAGCACCAGGCAAAACATGTTGCAGTTTGCACGATTTTTTGCATCGTTTGGCACGTCAGAACCAATGTAATTGCAACATTCCTATCAATTGGTTTGAACGGCGCAAGAGGTTATCTGACTCTGTTTATTCATTTTTCTATTTTGCTGAAACTTTAGGGATTTGTACTTTGGGCAGGAGAAGAGTGCGCAAAGCCATGGAAAACATCGTGACTCTTCAAGTTCTGATGGTTGGTTTGGAACGTGCGAGCGCTGCGAAGTGGCAGATCGACGCAGCGAAGCAGATCAAACGGAGACCTCCAAGGAGGCTCAGAAAGTGTGGTCAAAAGCGAGAACCAGCTGCTCATCGGCTTCAGCATCCTCTGTGCCTGTCTCAGACTGGCCAAAATGTTTAGGGTATTGAAGCAAAATTGTACCAATATTGAAATATTGCAATCTTTGCAAGATGGTTTTGCGTTTTGCAATGAGAGTTGGCTTCAGTGGTTTTGCGTGCTAAGAGCAGCTCTTCCTCTTCATCCTTTCCGCAAGTTGGTGTGGGCGTGGGACTTGGTGGGTTATGACCTCAACCCAGGTCTTGGGCTAAGTCTTGTTCGGTGCCGCCAATGACTTGAAATTGAGAAGTGCGTTTGATTGTGTCATTTCAATCTGGCTCAGCTACCAAAGCACCGGATGTCCAGCTTCAACCTCAGGTGTCCCAAGTAGCAGTCACGAGGATGACATGGTGGTTTGTGACTTGTACATATATACTTGTACAGTGCACCAAATGAAGATATTCAAGAGAGCAGTTTGCTCAGTTGAAATTTGCTATGGGTTGTGCTGCTAGGATATGTGAATGGTGACCATGACGCAGATAGGTTTGCCAAGTAAGGAGGTGAAACTAGGTAAGTCTAGAGTCCTCCAACAGGCAGGGACCCAGAAGAGGAGTGTTTAAGATTAGAGCAAACGGGACCTTTGAAGCAGCACTGACGTGAAGGTTGTATTTCCTTGTTCCAATTGCAATTAACAGGTTTGGTTCTATTTTGCATGACAGCCACAAGAGGCTGCATCTGCAGGATATTAGGCATTGCGAATTCAAAAGAGGCAGACATTCTTGAGCGCTCTTCCAAGACTTGACCATTCCCGTTGCATGGGGTTGTTGATCAGCTAAGACCAGTCCTTCTGAGTGATTTTAGTGACTGGTGCAAGCCAAAAAGCATAAATGATCAACTGAATCGAATGTGTAGATTTTGTGGAGCTGTTTGGCTTTCTTAGGGAAGGAGCTGTGCGTACAGCGGCCTATGAAGCCGTGGCGAGTGTTGTAAGCTTCCGGCGTGAAAGGTTTGCTGCAAATGCAAGTACTGCAGTTGACGGCGTCAAGAAAAACCCAGAGTACGTGTGTGGGAGCCCTGATAGCTGTCCAGGCTTCATTGTCGCAACATCGTCGTGTCATGGGAGTGGCTCAAACTCAAACAGGGTAGTTGGTAGGCGCTACATTGAAGCATAAGACTTGATACAAGTTGAGCAAAGCTGATAGAAGCTAACAGGAAGAACGCCTTCAAGGCCATTCATGTCATGCTCCATCAGTTGAATGGGTTTACCATGGTTTACCTAGCTTGTCCAGCTTGCGGCAATTTAGAAAGATGGCAGAAGGCTCGAAGGAAGAACTTACTCCACAACAGGTGCCCGACAAAGCTCATCACAAGTTGGACGACTGCCACAAAGTCCAGCACAGCTATATAATGGACCCTTCTTCTTGTGCGCTGAATAGTGGTGCTTGTACAGCCGCACCAAGGATGAACTGGATTGCTTGTAGTAAAGAGTTTCTTCCCTTCTTTGTCGGGGCGTGGTCCATGAGCTCTATGTTGAACCCAAGAGTTCAGTCCATATTTCTTCTCAAACAGCAGTTTTCATCTCACTACTTCACTAAACATTGGACTGCCTGGCCGTGCCCGCTTGACCCCGCACTGCCTTTTCACTTTGACTTCCTGGTAAGCCGGATCTCAAACAATTATACTTGCTAGCAGCTTGTCGTACTATGTCATACTATACAATATTGTGCATGTTTTGTCTCAGTGTTTCTTCCTTCAGAGCCTCACATCATCTCCCAGCTGCTTTGCATGTTTGGCATGCCCTCGAGCAGGTGCAAGCCACCTACCAGCAGATAGAGAAAGAATGTTCTGTGATGATCAACAAGGCTGGCATCAACCTCGCTGAGATATTATTGTCCTTTCTGCAAACCGCAGATTGCAGAGTTGGAACAAGAGCTCAACGAGCACTCGTTGGTTATCAAGGCTGCGCATTGGAGGGAGACACCGAGAAAGGGAAGAGGGAAGAAAGCATCGGGGGTAGATGTTTATATGAGATTGATTGTCTAGAACTTAGGCATGATCCAGAGATGACATCCATCCAGGGACAACGCGGACAAATCATGAAGTGTTAGCGATACAGCAAAAGGGTGTGTTTGCTTCGTGCAGGCGCAGTAACGCAGCACTGGTTGTAAAGCGCCGCCTTCGCTACCCCCGACATTTGCGACCACAAGCACCACGAAACCCTCAAGGCACAGGAGGTCCAGGGGAGCCCAATGTATATGTGTATTATATATATACAAATTGGGATTTGTTTGATTCAGCTTTTGTTGCTAGCCTGCCTAGCCTCCAGAGAAGGTGACACTTGGAGCCAAGAAGTGTGCCACTACAAGCTTTCCAGCGTGGTTGCTCCAAAAGAGAGCAGTGGAAGATCAGGAGGCCCAGATAGAGGGCCACGTAGGGAGAACCAGGTGGGCGCGAAGTGCTTCACTAGTGTTACACAAGTATAGGAGGAAGAGACACCGGTGAGGTGAAAGAGCTGGTTGTCATTGGAGGCTGAGAGGCGTTGAAGAATCAGAACAAAAGGAGAAGAAGAAGAAGAGAACAAGAAGAAGAAGAAGATTTGGAGAGGCGCAGGAGATCTCCACAAATTTTGTGTACTTTTGGAAAGGTGGCTCCTGAGCGCAGAGGAGTGTTCCGCAGGGCAAAAATTGTGGCGCGGCAGTGCAATTTAAGCGCAGTGTTAAGATGGAACAGACGCTCGCACCAAGGTCAATGCTAGCCATCCCCAAAATGCAAATTCATGTGACATTGAACGAGTGCAAGGATTTCGTGTCAAAGACCTAGATACTTCTCACGGCAGCGCAGCCACGGAAGGAGAGAGCGTATGTAGAAGTTGATGGCACCGCCCACGGGCTGATCAGATGCTTGCTTCGACAACGAACAGCAGCTTCGCAGCGGTTCCCATTTTTTGCAAAGATTGCAAAAGGTTTTGGATTGGATCAGGACGTCACGCGGCCTGGTTGGACGATGTTTTCATGGTAGCTTTGTGATCTACTTGCAGGACAAGAATAAGAAGAGGTGGAACATTGAGGAGAAGAATCCATGTTGCATCGGCAAAATCAGCCTATACCCTTCGCTGTGACTACAAATAGTATGAAGGACCAGAATTTCAGCAAGAAGGAAGAGACTGGAGAGCTGCACTGCGCATTAAGGACATCACAAACTACAGGAATGTTGTCGGACAGCTGATGCATTTGGCCGGAGAAGGATTGTTGCTCAGCTCAGCGCCCAGACCTTGGCTAGATGCATGTCGAAGTGCAGAAAGCAAGTGCGGAGACACGCGTGGCCTGTGTGCTCCTACTTGCCAGGCACCAGGCGCCATTGGCTTTAGTGTGGGCGTTGGAGCAAGGTCCACAGGGCAATCTGTCACACCTGAGAGACCCACAAGAAGACCAAGGCAAAGATAACCACTTATCACCGTTGATGAAAATGCAGACAGCAGAAGTCACCGCCCACATCCTTCCAACTGTTCATCGACGGCGTTGGTGGAACGTCGAACGAGGCAACAGAAGTCAATCTTGTCTTCTGGAGAGCCTGAGTTTGTTGCCACGGTTGGAGGATGGACTCCTTGCACGGTATCTGTGGAACAAGATGGCTGGTGAAGAGCGTGAAATGAAGGCGCGGTCTGACCGCTCAGCAGCAAGACTTGATGGCGCGGTAAGAAATTTGATCAAGCGAAAGCTGTCTCGTGAACAGCATAGGAGGCAGGATTGGAGAAGATGATCGCCAAGAGCTTGAGCGCAAGGATCGCGGGCGAAAAGGTCCACGTTAGCTTGCTTGGTACCCTGTCAAATTTGGGCAAACGCCAGCATATTTAGGATGCGAATCCCCAAACCTGGAAGGGGAATTGAGCGTGGGTGTTGGGAGTTTGTGGAAGCTCACACCGACCACTGCAGGCCACATCACAGAGCGCCGTGCTTCATTCTTGCCCCCCAACCGTGGCGCGGGCGCCAAGGGGGAAGCACTGAGGCAAGCTTCGCGGTGGACTGGAAGAGCGTGGAGCGGCCCAAGGAAAAGAAGGCTGGACAGCGCGTTCAAGTCGAAAACGCGGTGGGGCCGCTGGCGACAAGCCAGGAAAAGGTCCACGCAAAGAGGATCGGCGCGAAATTACAGGCGAGAAAAAGGCATTGCGGCAGCGGGAGACTTCAGGAGCTATCTCCATTTGGGTGCCAGTTCGGCGTCCCCATCATGTGCTTCCTGGATTTGGTGTCAAGGTTGCGAATTGGCATCGATTTATATAGGGGCATCGCTTGTCGCCGGCTTGAGATGAACGTTGCGCACGAACTTTTGCGCGGCGTCAAAAGCGGCAGCAGAGGAGCCAGTAAAGAGTCTACATTCCGATGTTGCCCCTGGGGTTTGTGGAGCGAGTCAAAAGCCTCCGTCCATCATACATACATACATACACCCATGAATCCATACATCCATCCATACATCCATCCAAACATTCATACATACATACGTACACACACGTACATAATATGTACGTACATACGTACGCCCACACATACACACGCACATACGCATACACATACAAACATACATACAAACATACACACACATACACACCTACGCACCGACATGCATACACACACATACATACATACATACAGACATGCGTGCATCTGTCCTTACTTACCGACCTACCCACCGGCCTACTTATTTATACATACATACATACATACACACATACATATTTACATGCATGCACGCAACCTTCATACACAGATCCACGCTTTACACACATACATATTGGGGTGTGACATGCATTTACAAATGTTGTACCGGCGCACAAAGCAAAATACATGGGCACCCTTGACATCTACAAAATGCAATTCATGCACCCATTCTATAGTGAGGGTACCGTGGAGGAAAAAGGCGAAAACTTGAACATTGCATTTTGTAGAGCGGTCGTTTTCAAAAAATCATCCAGGGTCACAGTGGCTGGAACCTTTTGGTTGTGGCCTGCCCATCCAGTAAATCGCTTCCACAAGGTTGTGAAAAACATACACAGTGCCCGAAACTCCTGTGTTGTAAAAAAATGTATCAAACACAAGATCCTTGGCTTGACAGGGTTGGCTGTCATTTCATGTTCTGACTTGCACCAGGCATTTGACAAAGTTGACTCAACACGACGTTGTTTCCGTATGGTGGCCGTCTCAGTTGGTGTCTCAAGTGGATCTGGGTTGGATACGCTCTTTCGCAAAGGTCGGAGGTGTCTTAGTCGAGCGCACAGTTGCAGAGGTGCACAATTCAAGACTATTTTTGTTCTTCAACTTCAATTGATTGAAAGGTGCGGCCTGCTGTAGAGAGCAACTTGGACAAAATCCAGCAGGCAAGATTGGGAGTCACTGCTTGAGCAACTAGTCTTGTATCCCAAGAGCTAGGCCGTGAATCAGCTGCAAGAGCAGCTAAAGAAGAAGACCGAACAAAGGAGTGCTGCAAAGTGCCGATCGATGTTGGTTCTCAATTTTTGGCAGTTTCGGAGGACACAGTTCATCAAGAAGTACAACCTTGCCAGCCCCCAGAAAACCCAGGCACGGTAAAATGCAGAATGGTTTGCAGTTTGCACAATTTTGCACTTGTGTTTCTTCGGCTGCCTCACTCCTGAGGTGACAGACGCCGAAGCTCCAACCAAAGGAGGAGGGAGTGTCCTTGTTTGAGGCGAATGGACTTGAGATCCAGTCTTTGAGGGTTCCAAGAAACATGCCTAAAGCAAATAAGCCACGCACTGGCCTTGGCCGATGAATTTTGCTGCAAGCTGGCAAACGTGAGAATTGGAAGAACGAGTGTAGTTGGCTGTCACCGAGAACTATACACATGACATAGATGGCAGAGGTGTCTTGTAGGTTTGCTGTTTTTTGAATCGTCTCTGAATCCTGGAGGGCCTCTTGGGAGAGTGCTTAATTCTTTTGAGGCCAGAATGTAGATCCCCACTTGGGAAGAACAGTACAGCAGTTGCTTTCCACAACCCGGAAACTCACGCCAGTAGAATACTTTTTCAGCTTTTGAGCAGACATTCCAGACGCAAGGCCAAAATCGGACTGACTCGAAGTCTTTCCAGACACGGCCTTTCGCCCCATCCACTGATTGCATTGTTGCTTTAGGATCGGATTCGTCCAGCCTTTTTGTTTGCTGCCAAACCTACCCATCATTATGGTCGATGCGGAAAAACATGGGGAAACTGTTTCGACTTGGGAAACACAGGACAAGCACGAACACTTTCGGTCCCCTGCTACGGTCCGAAATCTGAACAGTTTGCGCTGTTTCACACTACTACCACGCATGAGATCTGCCTCGCACTGAAACCTGGACCTGGTAGTGAGGAATGAAAGCCGCACAGCTGAAAACGGAGCACCAACGCCAAAACTGTGGATACGTCGTGTCATCCTACAAGCCACACAATGTCAAGCAAAGAAGGAAACAAACAAAGCTCTCACCTGAGCATGCCTGTCTATCCAACTTCAACAGCCGTAAATACTGGTGGGCACGGACTAACGACGCTCGGCGTCGCTGTGTGCTGCGTACCCAGGACCCATGACACTGAAGCGTTTTAGATCTATTTTGTACAACACTTGCACATGTATTGAAGCCTATGTGGCGAGCCTGAATGGACGAAACAAATCAAAAACTAGCAATTAAACTGAAGGAGTCACATTGAACACATTGAAATTTGGGGGTATGGGGTGTTGATGAACGTCCCTCTTTTGCTTCTTTTCATGCGGTTGATGGTGTCCGCAGTTGAGTTTCTCGCACCGGCCTGAATTAGGCCCAAGAGTACTTGTCATGTTAGAAAAGGACCGTGTCTTTTTACTGCGCATAGCCATGCTTTAGGGATTGCACTGACATTGGTGCCGCGGAGCTGCTGGCTACAATCCAGAGATCATGAGAAAATGGCAGCCTCGTGAAACAGCTGCCACAGTTGATGAGCCCGATTCGCAAGACCCTTGGGACTCTTGGCAAAAGAAAGGAAAAGGTAAGGGGAAGACCAGTGAAGCTGCCTCGGTTCCATCCGCCAGTGACCGCACCTGACGCTGAAGCTTCCGATCCGTGGGCGGCTGAACCTTGGCAGGACCCTTGGGCAGAAGCTCCTTGGCTGGAAGCGGATTGGGGTGACGAGGGATGGTACCAGGAGACCTGGGAGAGCGATGAGCAGCAGCTCTATCGCCGTTATGGTGGTCCTCGAAAGCACCCCTCTAGCACGGGATGGGATGATGCCGCTTGGGATGCTGCTTCGTCATCTCGCGGCTGGCTGACCTGCTGCGTCGGTTCAACACTGCGCCCCTTGGCCACATGACTGCGACCGCCGATGGAAAGTGGCTTGGTTCCTTTCACCCTGTTGGAGACCCAGGTGGCCTTGAATGGGATGGCGCTCCCTATGTCCCAGAGCATTCTAGAGACATGAAACCCACTGAGCGTGTGAAGGTGCCTTCCGTTGACGGTGGCACCACTGATGAGTCCAACCCTGAGGCCATTGGTAAATCCGCCAGGTCCTATGTTCGTCGTGTCCAGGCCTGGCTTCGGGTGACCAAGTTGCCTCGTTCACACCAAGCACTTGCCTTGTATGACGCTTTGACCGACAAGGCATGGGTGGTAGCTGAAGAACTTGACCTCGATGTGCTTTCCACCTCTCATGGCGTTCCCTACTTTTTGGAATGGGCGCAAACCCGTTTCATGGACGTTTCGCTGCGAGCGACGACAAGACCAGTCAGTGCGTGAGTTCAATGTCAAGTTTGAGAGGATGGTCTTGAGACTTCATGAGGTTCGCTGCGAGCTCCCCTCCTTTGGTCAAGGCCTGGCTCTACGTAGATAAGCTCAGGTTGTCAGAAGCTGAGGAGTTGGCGCTCTTGGCATCGGTGGGCAATGAATATGATGTTCGACGGCTTCAACATGCCGCGTTGGCCCAAGACCGCACCTTGAGGCGCAACCGGAGCACTCAACCTCCTTCCGATGGAAAGGGCAGACCGCGCTGGCGACAGTCAGTGCACATGACGGGCCTTTTTTTGAGGACGACAACCTGAAGGAGGCCAGCGACACCTCCATCCTGGTCGATGAAGACACCGCTATGGCTGAGCATTCTGCCTACATGACCTACCAGGGGGCCAAGGCCAAGTACAAGGAGTCCCTCCAAGGCCGGGGCACTGATCCGGCCGAACTCAAGCGTCGTGCAGAAGAACGCCTTCGCTTAGCAAAACAGAGATCTTACTGCAGTGCCTGCAAGAGGCGGGGCCACTGGCACAAGGACCCCGAGTGCCCCTTGAAAGGGCAACGACGGACCGCTGCTGCCCCTAGTCCTTCGGGGGCCACCCAACAGGCCCAAGTGTGTCACACAGTGCAATCCCGATTTTTGTCAGAAGAGGTCTTTTTGATGGAGGAGGACGGGTGTGACATTTTGGGAAGTGTCCAGTCCTGCTTCATGACGGCCTTTGAGGAGACAGCGATTTCCGAGCTCCGGAGGGTGGCCTCTTACAGAAGGAGCGCGCGCTGGCGATTGTCGACACGGCCTGCACGAAGTCAGTCGCCGGATACCAGTGGCTCGAACAATTTGTAGTTGAGGCGGAGAACCGTCACCACGAGGTGAAGATCGTGGACGAGATCGAACATTTCAAGTTTGGAGCCTCACGAGTCTACAGGTCGACATTCTCGATCTGGGCCTGGTTTGGGATCGCCCACCATTGGGTAGCTGTGAAGATCTCGACAGTCCAATGCCAAGTACCTCTTCTTTTGAGCCGCTCTGCCTTGGCTGCTCTTGGCACCACCTTTGACATCGCTGCCCAGGAATTGGCCATGCATCGACTTGGAGTCCATGGCCTACCCTTGGAGCAGAGTGAGACTGGGCACCCGGCTTTAGCTGTGACTTGTTTTCCTTCAGGCAGTCCACCCGATATGACTGCCTGCACTGGATCCCAACTTCGCAGGTATATATGAGTGCGACTGCTGCCTCCGGGGACGGAGAGGAGACTCGGTCCAAGCTTCTCGACGATGTCCTCCATCAAGAACACGGATGTCGCCAACAGAGATGTGCCATTTTCTACAGAGGGCGAGCTGGATGGCCAGGAGGATGCTGTGACGGCAAGCGGTGGGTACCTCCAAAGAGCAGAGTTCCTGCGAGAGCTTCATCCACCAGAGCTTGGGAGAAGTACTCAAACCAAATACCCCTTTCACAACTTCCACAAGCTGGCCCGGCTGTAGCCCTCTGACTCCTCCACGAGGTTGCCTGAAATAAAGTTGGCGAGGGGCAGGTACACCGTTCAAGAAGGTAGAGGAGGTCCCTTGGGGCCTCATACCACCAGTCTGGACAATGAGCGACCACTGTACTTGGAGGCAGAAGACAAGCAGTGGCAAGAACATGTCTCTTTCGGAGCAGTACGACCCCTTTCCTTGGAAGAGAGCAAAATGGTGGAGGACACGGTCCATCCTTCCCGCATCTTGAGAGCTCGCTATGCCTACAAGGGCAAAAATCAATTTGGGAGTGAAAGACATGTCAGTGGATGCGGACCACGACGGAGACAAGATTATCGTCCAGCACAATCCCATTGATCCTTGTGTATTCATGCTGATGCCCAAACAGCATGACCGCACCATGGGCTTGCTCCTCACTCACGTTGATGATTTGATGCTTTTGGCTGAGGCCAGCCTTGCGAAAAAGCTGCAGCAAGAACTGGGGACTCGCTTTCCCGTCGACGAATGGCAACAGGATGACTTTGAGTACGTCGGCTGCAAGCACACGGTCTCAGACAATGCGGTCTTCATTTCCCAAAAGGGGTACACCAAGAGCCGTGTGTCCCGTGTCACCATTGGAAAGAGCTCTGTGGTCGAGCCTGAGCAGATTGAAGAAAACCGGACCTCAATCGGCAGCCTTTCTTGGCAGTCAAGACAGACTCGTCCAGACATCCAGTTCTTCGTATCTCAAGCTCAGAAGCGCCAGAACGCCCCAGAGCTCGAGGACCTGAAGTTCACCAACAAGGCTGTGAACCTAGCCTCCAAGCATAAGGATGAGGGCATCCACATCAGGGCCATAGAAGAGGGCCAGATCGCCTTCCTGGCCTACCGCGATGCAGCTTGGGGAAACGCCGACCTTGAAGACGGTTTTGACCCTCAGTGGACTGGCTCGCATCAAGTGGCTTCTCAAATTGGCTCGCTCATCTTCATGGTCCACAAGGACTGCTTGGGGGGCCGTGGTGGACCTTTCAGTCTCATCGACTGGAAGAGCAAGGGATGCCAGCGAGTTTGCAGATCAACGTTCGCAGGTGAGACAATGGCATGCTGCGAGGCCACCGAGAGCGGGTTGTTCCTCCGCGCCCTGTTCCTCTCAATGATCCATGGGAAGATCATCCCTGAGCAGGATGGTGGCAAGTTCTTTGAGCTGCATCGGGTCACGGACTGCAAAAGCCTTTACGATCACATCCGTCGTGAAGGCGTTCCCAAGTCTCCCACAGAGAAGAGGCTGGCAATAGATCTTGCAGGGGTCAGACAGACCCGGACTCGAGAAGCGCAGTTCCAGTGGAAACGCATGTATGGAGAAGATGCCTCTCATGCACCTGAGAGACCATGTCGTCCTCCACTGCACTGGCTCCCTACTCAGAGCCAGCTCGCTGACCTCCTCACCATGGCCATGAACGTGGACGAATGGTGGGCGACGCTTCGCAGCGGCCAGTTGCAG